AGAAGGATTAAAAAGACACTGGTCAAAGGCTAGAGACTTGAGATCAGAGATCATATAACAGAGAGATAAGACAGCCCGAACTCCAGCACAAGCCAACCAGGTATGAGCAGGGTAGATTTAATGGGTTCAGACAAGTCACAAACCTGTGGTGGGGATCCTCTTCACCTCATGCGCAAAACACTAGTTCGAGTGAACTAATTGAGAAATTTGCCTCAAGCCATGATTTCCCCGTGTTCACGGTATCCACTAATTAAAAAAACTGTTCGTAAATAGTACAGTGTCACTGGCAAAGCTCATCTGTCGGAAACCACTATAGCAATAACACAGAAGTAATGCTAGAGAACTCAGCTCTCGAACTGGCTTCTCTGTGCTATCACGAGGTGTTACACAGTAGATGTTCTCCTGAAGCATGTTCTTGCGATTCACTGAGTCGTTAGGTTATATCGAATAAATATGTTCCTCGGTCATTTAGTCCTGAAGTTGAGGGAAGAGAGGATCAAAACGTGATGGGACGTTCCGTCGCCTGCGTTTCATTATAACTCAGAGAAAAGCTCTCCTTCCAAAATCATGTGATGTGAGGGTGAGAAGCGAAAATCGCCCTATTCGGAGCCTACAAAGTCGGTGCAGATTATCGCGACATTTCCTCACAAGGAACCATTTCCAGCTTCAGAAGAAAGCCCTAGGGTAGAAATTTAAGAATCAATTCGTCGTAGAAACCTATTGCTAACCTAAGGGAGTTACTGTTTGTAACCTGCACAACATACTTTTTCGGCAAATGGGATCCAGAAATGATTTAGAGTTAGCCATGTACATGCACACATCACTGTGGTCAATATTACGGAACAGATCGTTTTAGAGAGCATAACAACCTATTTGCCGAAAGATTTTGTAGTACAGTACACAGACAATTCAACTAGTAAACCGGCACGTCAGCGTCAGCTCTCTCTCTCAACCCAGTTGATGTGAGCTACCAATGAAGAGATCCCCTTTGTTCCTTTCTGGCAGGTCTGATATTGCTTATGAGCCACTAAACGTTAGAACTATGATGTTAGATACGTTCCTACAAAGCTACTGAAAGGTCGGTCATTTCGAAATCTGAAACGTTTACAGTTTGGCGGTTGTTCGATAAACGCACAGTTCGTGTTGTCCCAACGGCGAACCGACGAATGGATTGCTGTGGCCATCGGTTGGGGACTTATATTGCTGTTCGCTGTACAGATGAGCTACCGTATATCGGGTAAGTCACCGTTACAGAAATACATATTTTCTCCCTGGCACCTGCTTGGGTCTGCCCAAACAGTGCTAGCTGTACCCCTTAAGTGAACTGCAGCGTAAAACACCAGTTATCATAATGAAACAGCTAAATGTATCGATGTTTGAGGGAGGTCGGTGTTGGCTGAAAATTGTTAACAAAGCCCTAGTAAAGGTAGTAGATGAAATAATGACATGCGTGGGTGCATTTAACGTCATGCCCCTCATCCACTGAGCGCTTTCATGAGCCTCTGCCGTGTCTGTTTAAAGATGAGCTATACACCCACCTCCAAGGACGGCTGTTTCCATGTGCGAGGTGAATGGGTCCTCGGCTGCGATACGTGCCACTATCCATTGCTCGAAGGTGCTCGCTAATTGCGCTGGAGAGTGGTGATACACGGCTTCGTTTCCATACTTTGACCCCACGATCCTCACGATATAGCGTATGCCACCTTCAAGAAATTTGGAATATACCTGGATGTAGGGCAACTCATTATGGCAAAAAATTGTTTGGAATGCAGAATCTGGATTGACAAACCTTCTTTCTATCCACATTCTAAACCAAAAGTTGCTTTCAAAATAATATCGTTAATATTGACTGGTCCCCTTTGTGGTTACGAAGCCTTCAGAAGCATTCATATCATCTCACCATCAGTGGAGATCAATCGTGTAGCCCATCTTTTTTGATATAGCACTTTTCACCGAATTGTGATAGCATTTACAAGGTAGAGTACCGAGGGAGTGCAGCGATATCAATTTTCACAATGCGGGAGAAATGAAATAAGAAATCTGCAATTTCAGGTGGACATCTGAACCCGGCAGTTTCGTTCTTTCTCTTCTCACAAGGAAAAATTAACGCGTTGAGGTAATCACCACTTTATAACTCAATTCTACTGACTCCTTTCCTTGAGGGGTACAGTGTGGAGATGGAAGTTGCGGTGACAAGCGGAAACTAGCAGATCTGTCCAAGCTATCCGTCCAAGTTATTTGACTTGACATATTTACAATCTTGTTCGGGAACCCTAGGCCGTGACGCCACTGGCACCGCTTTTTTCCGCACGTCGCCGCAACGTGAATCCCCAGGACTACACCATTCTTATAGTGAAGTGTAGCATTGTCATGTAACGGAATATTCTTGAAGGTTTCTCGTTTTCGCCGTGGCGCAAAACATTGGTGCATTTTTGGGTGCATTGTCGACATTTATCGTCTATTACGGTGAGAGCAATCGTTTTTTTTGTCTGGTGTGAAAACGACGTTGAAGTATTGGAGCCATTGAGCCATTTATGCCATTAAGCCTGATTAGGTGCCATTAACCGTTATCAGATACGTAAAGAATTTAATAGTGGAGTGAACATAAATGTAAACACTTAAACCTAAACACTGAGATAACAAGAGTTCATAGCGTCCATCACTTTTGATTCGGAAAGGCGGTGAGGAGAAGCTAATTCTCAATACAATAGTTACTTGGGGAAATTGAGAAAAAAAATGTCGGAATTTTTTTCGTGAAGTGAGAAGAGGCTCCGATTTCGGACCTCTTTTACAATTTACATCTCATTATCGTTTTATGAGCAAACCGACACCCTTCAGCAAAACCAGTACTTCATTGTTGTTGCACAGCGCAACTGTCACTCTAAACTGAAGCGGACTGTTTTTTGGGGCGCTCGGGGAATTTGTAAAAGAACCTTTCGCACTACTACATTCTTCTTGTGGGAAGGCTTTTGGGGAACAGAAAGCTGGGCTTCAACGTGCTACATCTGCAGTTCCTGGTGTTTATTGAACTAGTTTTGAGAACTTTCAATATGGCAAGTATGTTTTAGGAAAAGCTTGCATAGACGTCGAAAATCACATGCGAGTTTTTTTACTTTTGAAGGCAACACCCACGATCGTTCATAACTAGCTAAACTCTTCATATGGACAGTTAGTGTCAACTGCAAAAACAACGACCCCGAATAGGCCCCATGTCGGAAACTTTTAAGGCGCAACAGGGCACAGCATTCGATGGGGATTTTGGTCGAGCTTTTACGACCCCCCTTTTTTTCAGGGGCTGGTACGACCCCCCCCATGCTCGTACGATGGCTGACATGGCTGACTGTGGTTGTGGTTTATACTCGGCGAAAAAGTTGAAAAAGTTGTCGAGCGGGGGTATGTAATAGGCATGCGACGTACATCGTACGGGCGTACATAGTACCTATAACACAGAAAATTCATAAAACTCATGAAGTGAACCACGTAACTCCTAGCCAGAAATACGACCCCCCTCCCAACAACGACAAATACGACCCCCCCTCCAAAACGTCCGCAAAGCGAGAAAAATCAACTATAAAAATAAATTTTTCCCAGCCCAAATACGACCCCCCTTTTGGCGGCCAAATACGACCCCCCCCCATAGGGAATCCCCAACCAATGCTGTGCCCTGAGGCGCAAGGTTGCTCGAAGTGACTCCGCCCAAGTTTATTAATGCCGTATTTGAGCCCCTCTTTCGTTTGCATGCTCTCCCGGCTTCTCTGACCTCTCTGCCGCTATCCACCTTGATGGTTTGTCCTTCACGTGGTACAAGTACAGCCTTATTCGAGGCCCAGTCAATGGTTTCCTTTCCTTCATCTCTAGGAGCGATCAGCAGATACAACACTGCGTTTTCAACCCCGCTACGCATGTTCTATTCGCTGGCTCATCGCGAAGTCTCCTTTTTAAGTCTATGAGATCAATAAGAGACAATAAAAAATCCTATATGACAAAAGAGCACGGAAGGACAGAAACTTTTCACTTTTCAAGACTCTTTATATTTTTTGAAGCCTCTATAGTGCAAGAAAATGTGATGTGGAATGAATGATGGAACGTAAAATTGCGGAGCCCTCGAGCACTCAGAGTGCGGTAACTTCGGTAGGCGAACAACCATACACCGTACCTCCAAAGGAGCCGTAAATAAATCTGGCTGCACACCAAACACATCATTTCACGACAACAGCGTCAAAATTGCAAGGACAACGCGAGTGTGTTGTGGTTGCTATCGCATCGAACGTTTTGGGCGAGAAGAATGTGTAGATATCGATCTGTCATCGACACCTACACCATACTTTTCGCTCAAAACGCTAGCATTCCGCTGATAAGATTCAAAACGCTAGGTTGATAGCTAATATTCCTTTCGCCCAAACCGCTCGAAACGCTCAAATGCAGACGAAAATTGTGAACGCAGCTCACCGGAACCCAGTTCAAGTAGTTTTGCCTTTCATTTTTCGATCAAATGCAATGCGTCTGTTTAGGTTTTAAAAAAACAAAGCGATTGCATCGCTATGGGGAAGTTTTCGCCTTCCTTATGGTTAGTGAACGAATGTTGTTGCACTACACAGAACTTTTTCTCCACATTTCAGCACCGCTCCTAGGATGCCTAGAGTAGTTCAGGTTTCAACTGCGAGCTTATTCTTGAAGCTGTTGAATAGAGCTTGTTGTGGCTGTTCAGTAGCGGTTTTGTAGATTGCAGATGAGACGTATATTCCAACCACTACCTTGGTTATCGACACAGTATAGTGGTTTGATGGCTACGGCCATGCCTCGAGAGTGGGGCAGGCGGGGCGTTAGCCGGGGAGAGGATCATGGCCATCGCTGGCGATGACAGAGCTGACTATGGATCTCGTACTCGTACTCTATTTCGTTCAGAAAAAGCTATGCTTGTCATCATTCCTTCGTATCGCACGAAACCAACAGGAAGCAAGCAGGCAGTGGTAAACACACGACAAGGAGGCTATACTGATGATAACTGAAACCACTACACGAGCATGGAAAGAAGCAAGGCATTCATCACGGAATGAATGCGGGACCTGTGAAGGAGAACACATGCAAAACTACACTGTGTCCCAAAAGTATAGTTCCACCCATAAATCTCGCAATATCCCGCCCTACACGACGTTTTCGAAAAAGCCTTTAGGTAAAAAATGTAGTAGTTACCAGTGCCAATTTGCATGCCAACACCGAGAACTGACTTTCCAGAGCAACTTCAATTTTCTTTATTTTTTTGAAAATTTCTCACTTTGACAATGTCCCAAAATATAGTTCCACTAAACAAATCGATTCATAAAACAACAAGTGTACAAACAAAATGAATGAATTGCTAAGTCTATAATCTATTGCAGCCTCATTCCTTTGGATAAGTTGGAAAATGCGGTTGTCCATGCTCGAATAGAGGTTTTAAAACAGTTTTCGGTCGACATGCTGCCATGCATCAATTATTGACTTCTTGAGCTCACGGACTTGTGGAATTGTGCATTACATAGGATCTTGCGTACCACGAAGCCCCACACATTCGCGATTGGGTTTTGAGTCAGGGCTATTCGCTGGCCAGGGCAAAAGAGCGATTTGATGACGACTGAACCACGCTCGAGTGTTTCGGCTGACATGAATTGGTGCATTTTCTTGCATGAAAACAGGACTTTCTTGCTGATTTCTACACCAGAAAAGAAAGGAGACATTGTCGCATGACTTTTGGAGGGGCGGAAGAAATCATTTCTCTCCCCATCACGGAGCCCACAGTTTCAACCGTTCCATTGCTGCGATGGCACACCCAGCCATGAGTCGATCACATCGTCGAGGGTTCACCGGAATAATGAAACTTGTCTTCCCTTAGATCCTGCCAGCGGAATCGGTTTTGCCTGACCGATTACATTTGAATTTTTTCTCATCAGAGAACACGTCCGCGAGAAAAAAAAACTTAAACAAAGCAACACAGACAAGCAGCAGGGCAATGCAGCAAAAGCTACCCTCACTCCAATCGGTTCGGCAACATCTTCGAGCGAAGCTAATCAAGTTTTCGCGATGGTTTTTTTGTTTAAAAACGGCAGTGCCTAACTCATATTCCTCCTGTAGGTGAACTCAGGAGTTCTTCGAACGCCGAACAGTCTCCTTCGAAACGTTAAGCCTCGAAATTGACTTCATTTTCAGGTCACTGACGGTTGTGCAGATTCGAGTGACTTCTCTTGAAGTACGGCGCTTTTCTCGATCAGAGAGCAAAGGAGGACGCCCAGAGCTCTTCTTGATTCCATATCGTGCGGGTTCCTTGACGAAGTTGTTGATGAAAGTGAACTGACTAGCCCAATCTTTACGATTTGTCGGTTCGACCGTCTTTGAGCCTTTACGACAGTTCCTTTTCCGAAGTCTAATAAAGAATGTCCTGTCACCATTACCTGGAAAAGGTGAAAAGTAATGATGATGAGACAGTTTCACCCGAAAAAAATGAGACGTAGTGGAGGAACTATATTTTGGGACATTGTCAAAGTGAGAAATTTTCAAAAAATGAAGAAAATTGAAGTTGCTCTGGAAAGTTAGTTCTCGATGTTGGCATGCAAATTGGCACTGGTAATTACCACATTTTCTATCTAGAGGCTTTTTTGAAAACGTCGTGTAGGGCGGGATATTGTGAGATTTATGGGTGGAACTATACTTTTGGGACGCAGTGTATGTTGTTCTACTAATCTAATCAATTTTCGGGGAAGTCTCGTGACATTTTCATCTGGAAAATGCTTCACTTCAGTAATGTGCAAAGACTCCACTGCAATGTCATGAGGAATTCTGACCCAAACGCGGACTATTTTTGATGAGTGCCGTTGAACCAATTATACAAGTAGAAAAATGATTTATTGGAGCATCCAACGGACCTATAGTTCTTACGAACACTACTCTATGCAATCGTTCTGATCCCATGCAATCGTTCTAATCCTTTGGACATCCTTATCATCGCAACACGTACGTTCCCCAAGCAATTTCGACGCTGTTGTCGTGAGATACTGTGTTTGGTGTGCATCCAGATTTATTTACGGCTCATTTGGGGGTACGGTGTATGGTTGTTCGCCTACTGAAGTTACCGTACTGTCGAGCACTC